GTGCGTCCGTCAAGGGGGGCCGTCGGAGGGCGTCAGGCAAAGATGAACACATGGCTACGGGCAGGCCAACTGCAAGGGGCGTGAAACGCGGCGTTCGGGGAGAGGGGTCGGCGAAGGCGTCGGGAAGAGCGGCGGGATGGGCGTCGCTTGGGCCGCCAGTCGGTCCGTCCTCATGCCTATTTCGGCGGTCGCCAGCGTTGGCATCGCAGGGGCAAGCTTCGTCGCGGACGTTGTAGCCGACGTGGTGGTCGTTGTCGCTGGAGTCTTCGTGGGGGGCAATCGCGGCGGTGGGCCGTGTGGGCACCATCGGGATGGCGGGGAAACGCTGGGTGGGAGGTCGTGGGGACCGTCGGGTTGTATACAAGGTCGCGGGGGCAATCCCGGGTGCATTCGGGCGCGGGGTCTGGGGCAGGGGGTCGCGCGAGGTCCCCGCGTAGCAGGCGCAGTCTAAATAACAACGAAAATTAAGACAATGGCGCCAAACATAATGTGGCCGCAATGGCAACAGTAGATGCCAGAATAATATTCGTAAAATCTACGTGGCCGAAATAAGAAGAGGACGACACGTCATAGCAGTCGAGATCCAACACCCAAACATATAGCAGTAGCAATCATAGTTGTGGTAGTAGTAATCGAAAAATAGCGGTCGTAGTAATAGGTAGCAGTAGTAGTAGTAGTAGTAGTAGTAGTAGTAGTAGTAGTAGTAGTAGTAGTAGTAGTAATAGTAGTAGTAGTAGTAGTAGTAGTAGTAGTAGTAGTAGTAGTCGTAGTCGTAGTCGTAGTCGTAGTAGTAGTAGTAGTAGTAGTAGTAGTAGTAGTAGTAGTAGTGGTAGTAGTAGTAGTCAGAGCCGTAGTCGTAGTCGTAGTCGTAGTAGTACTCGTAGTCGGAAAAGTAGTAGTATGAAAAGTAGTAGTAGTAGTAGTAGTAGTAGTAGTAGTAGTAGTAGTAGTAGTAGTAAAAAAGAAGAAGTAAAAGTAGTAGTAGTAGTAGTAGTAGTCGTAATAGTGGTAGTGGTGGTAGCACGGGCACTTCCAGTGATAGCACGAATCGTAATCGTAGCAGTAGCGGTAGTAGTCGTACTACTCCTTGTAGAGTAGTACAAGTGGTAGTACACGTCGTCGTAGCAGCAGTAGTAAAACAGAGTAGTAGTAGTCGCAAGTGCTGTAGCAGCTGCTTCAAAGAGTAGTAGTTGTACGCATTGTAGTCGTAGTAAGAATAGCCAGAATTGTAGTAGTCATAGAGGTAGAAGTAGTCGTAGTAGTGGTCGTAGTGGAAGTAGTAGTGATAGTGGTACGAATGGTACTTGTTGCAGCAATCGCAATAGTAGCCGTAGTAGTAGTAGTAATTATCCCAGTGCGACCATACCTAGGAGTTGGAGCATTTAGGAAAGCAACATCTACATATACACCGACGGCTACATTTACATCTACACCTGCATCTGCATTTACAGTACGATCAACAGCGAGACTCACATCTACATCTACATCTACACCTACATCTAAAGCTACACCTACATCCATGCTATGATATGCTGTGCTATGTTATGATGTGGTATTATGCGCTATGGTATGCTATGCTATACTGCGCTATGATTTGTTATGCTAGGCAATGCTATGCTATAATATGCTGCGCTATGCTATGCTATGCTGTGCTATGCTATGCTGCACCATGGTATCCTATGCAATGGTATGCTGTGCTATGCTATGCTGTGTTGCGTTGTGATATGCTGCACTATGCTATGCTATGCTATGATGTGCTATGCTGCGCTATGTTATGCCATGCTATGCTAGGCAATGCTATGCTATGCTATGCGGCGCTAAGATATGATATGATATGCTGCGTCATGGTATGCTACGCGTTGTTATGCTATGATATGCTAAGCTATGCTGCGCTGTGCTATGCTGCACTGTGGTATGCTATGCTATGCTATGCTATGCAATGCTATGATGCGCTATGCTATGATATGCTGAGATATGCTATGATATGATATGATATGAGTGGCTAGGCTATGCTACGCTATGCTGTGCTAGTGCTGCGCTGCGCTTTGCTGCGCTAGGCTAAGCTAAGCTGCGGTAAGCTAAACGATGCTAAGCTAAGCTAAGCTAGGCTAGGCTAATTTAAGCTAAGCTAAGCCAAGCTGGGCGAAATTAAAATAAGCTACGCTAAGCTGGGTTAAGATGAGATGAGTTAAGCTAAGATTGCATGAGATAAGCTCAGCTAAGCTAAGCTAAGCTGAGCCAGG